TGAGAGAGACCTCGGGAGAGGGCACAACCAGACAGCTACACAGGAGGCAGGCAAGAAACCTTCTCCCAGCCCCAGCTTTCGCCGCGACCTGAACCCTCCCGCACACCCCACGCCGTGGGCCCGTCGCCGCAGAGCTGGGCTCTGCGTGGACAAGGTCCCGTACTCCCAAGGGTGCCCCCAGTCCGAGCAACGCCCGTACCCTCACTACTGCACCTATGCCGCCCCGCTGCCGGGACGCGCCAGGGCTCGGCCGCTTCGCGAACCAAGCCGCTGTGCTTCTGGGCCGCGGCCTAAAAATGGCGGAGGCAGCCGCGCTTCCCACACCGCTCCCCACCGCACCCGCGGAGCAGCACCGAGCCGTACTCACCGCCCAGCCGCTCTCTCGCACCCCAGCTCCGCGCCCTGCCGCCTCGCCAGTCGCCTCGTCCCTCCGGGCCCCGGAAGCCGCCACCGCGCCGCCACCTCACGAACCCCCACCACGGCCGACCGCCATCTTCCTTCCCCACCAGCGGCCGGGCGGTGCACGCACGCTTACGTCACCACGCTCGGCGGCAGTGAAAGGCGGTGCTCACGGTAACGCGGCCGGAAGAAAGGCAGGTGGCGGCGCGAATCGTCCCGCGCATGCGCACGGGGCATGGTCTCTGTGTTACTCCCGCGCTCTGTGAGGGACGCTCAAGCTGTGAGGCGCGCAGGGCCAGCGGGCAGAGGGGTTTCTGCCGCGGTGCCTGTCTGCGGTTGCAGGCGCTGCAGAGCCGGTAGTACCGCTTCCTGAGCGCATCGGCCTCGCCTGGCTATGTCTAGCCTAGCTCCTAGCCCCGCATAGCTCTGTGTCCCTGTATTGCTGCATGCTCATGCTCCGCAGGTTTACCAAACAAGCAGGTGCTATGCGGAGCTGTAACTCCCGTGGATATCTTCCCCTTTAACCCCTCCGGGGTTTCAAAGCACAGCAATTAAGAACAACTAATGCCAAGGCTCATAATTATCTACTTGAAGGGAATGGTGCAAATCCCCTGAGATCACTTTCGGATCACTAAGTCTGTTACACTCCTTATTGGGAGACTAGTGATAGATTTCAGAGGTACCAATAAGAAGTAACACTCCCAATTGCATTTATTACATCATTTTCCCCAGAAGTGTAGACAAAGAGGTGGAGAATCAGAATCACAGAACGGTTGGAAAGCAGCTTAAAGCTCATCCAGCTCCAACCCCTGCCACAGACAGGGACACCTTCCACTACAGCAGGTTGCTCCAAGCCCCTGTGTCCAACCTGGCCTTGAACACAGCCAGGGATGGGGCAGCCACAGCTTCTCTGGGCACCCTGTGCCAGCATCTCAGCACTCTCACAGGGAACAGCTTCTGCCTAAGAGCTCATCTCAATCTCCCCTCTGTCAGGTTAAAGCCATTCCCCTTGTCCTGTCCCTACAGGCCCTTGCCAAAGGTCCCACTCCAGATTTCTTACTGGCCCCTTTAGGCACTGGAACTGCTCTAAGGTCTCCCCTCAAGGAGCCTTCTCTTCTCAAGACTGACCCAGGCCAGTTCTCTCAGCCTGGCTCCAGAGCAGAGCTGCTCCAGCTGTCACAGCATCTCCATAGGATCCTCTGGATTAGCTCCAACAGCTCCACTTCCCTCTCGCATTAGGACATCATCCATGTCCTTCTCCTGTCCATGACACTCAGTGCCACACCACACACAGTATTTGTGAGCATTCCACCATGTCAATATTAAAATGGAAGACCCTCTAAAGAACATCTAGGGGACTGTGCTGTTTCAAGGCTAAACAATATTGCAATGTGATCATCTGAACTATTTGTACCTGAAACTGCTCAGTTTGTTCTCCCAGATCATCCAGGTTAATGTAAAATGGTTCATTGTCCATACACAGCACTCCCTCCATCCACTGTTGTACCTCTACAGGCACAGCAGCCTCCTCTCTGTGTTGTGGTTGTTCTCTGGGAGGTGGAGACAGACCTATTGTTTTTCATGAAACATAAATTGTAAATTTTAACACTATTGTATTGTGTTCTGACTACTGTTAAAATATTTAACTTTGTAATTAAAAGGTTAATGTTGTTAAAAGTCTAAATAAAGGTATCTAAAGTTTTGCTTGTAATAGGATGCACCGTGTCGTTAATGAGCTGGGGAAGGGGACGCTGCACAAAGCAAACACCATCCCTGTATTATGGAGGTTACAGTTTGGCCAGCGTGGAACTGGGAAGAGAGGGGAGGTGGGGGGCATCAGCGGGAATGGGCAAACAGTGCCCTGCATGATGTGTGCTGCTGCTGAGGGGTGGGCAGGAGCAGCGCGGGGTCGCACTGACCGTGAGCACTCCTGAACCAGTGTGCCTGCACTGCATAAAGCTCTCGCCTGTGCTTGCACAGAAACGGGGCTGTAAACTAAAGCGGTCCTAACAACCGGCGCTAGAGAGGGCGCACTTCTGGAGGTGCAGTAGCACACAGAACACATCTCTGCTGCAGGTGTTTAAACTGGCAAGGTGAAAACCGAAACTACCGGTGTTCATGCAGCCACCTACAGGCTTACCTGAAGTGGCGCTGACATTTCATTAAGAACCATTCTTCTCTCTGAACACCTCAGTTAAAACCTCAGTGTGATACTGGAGGAGCTACACTCGTTTCACAGGAGATGCACAACCCAGTCATAGCAAATTACTGCCACGGGACTTAGTAGAAATTATCAACTTCAGTGTCAAAACTACCTTCTGCAAAGCAAAATCCTTCATTATTGCAGCTGAATAAACTGCTCTTCAGGTTGTGGAATGCCACTGTGCATGCTGGTCAACAGTCACCCTCATCCCTACAGAGCCAAAGGCTGTCTAGATTCATCTGCTAAAACCGTAAACTGAGAAGAATGGAACAGAAAAGAGAATGTTTTAGGTTAGCAAAAATCAATGGAATGAGATGCTGATGTGTTCTGTTATAGTCATGACTCTCATTGCTTGAATTCTTCCAGTTTGTTTTTATCACTACAATGGAAGGGGGAAAAAATGGAAGGGGAAAGAAGACCACCACATTAAGGGAAATTCACTTATACTTTACCTTCTGTTTATCATCACTCACAGATTACTCCCCCCCACCCTTTATTAAATGAATACAGTATATTTGAAAGTATTTTTCTTTGAGAAACAAACACAATCAGCAGAAGGAAATGAGGGGAAACTACAAAAAAAATAGACAAAGTGCTCAAAGGCAGAAAACGAGCACTTTTCTACCTACAAATCCTATTCTAGTAACTGTATGTGCTACAGTATTAAGTAAAACAGTTCAGAAATGAGTTGATGATTAATCTGAAGCTGGCTGAAGTTTCTCAATCTAAATTCTGTCTAAAACCCACATTTGTACCATGTTCTTTCTTGTAGCTTCAGAAGAGAAGGACCCTCAAGACATGAGGGCCGGGGACCCAGGGGGAGAGATGGCTTTCCTGGACCTGAAGATTTTGGGCCAGATGATGCTTTTGACTCTCCAGATGAAAACTCAAGAGGAAGGGACCATGGTGTTCGGGGGCGAGGTCGTGGTGCTGTGAGAGGTGAGTGGAACATTCTTCCATACTGAAATGCAAGGATAAGGAAGCAAAGACATTTCCTGGGCAAATTACAGTATTGTCATGAAACCAACGTCTCCTGTCCACTGCATCTCTTACTGCGCAGGAGGCCGGAAGGGTTTACTTCCCACTCCAGATGAATTTACACGCTTTGAAGGAGGGCGGAAACCAGAATCCTGGGATGGAAACAGAGAACCAGGTAAAAACTGGAGAGGTTTGTTTAGATAACTGCAGACTTCTGTAATATAACCAACCAATGATGCCTCTTATTTCTGAATGCCATCTCTGATTGCATCAAAGTCTGCGATTTCCAACCTGAACTAGCTCTTCTCCAAGTCGCAGCTCTGATCCGTATCATTTACTCGCCTTATTACTCTGTATATATTATTTTCATTTTTAATTTATCCTTTTGTAAATTAAACAGGGTAACTAACAGTTGCACACACTATTTAAGATATGGTTTATCATCTATTTCTGTAGTCCACTTGGTTTTGTTCTCCTTTGCTTCCTAATAGCTTCTGATGTCCTATTTATTTCCCTTTTTAACTATTGAACAGTCACATGGCACCCTCATGCACCTAGCTACTGTAACCAACAAAATAACTTTCTTCTGGAGTAAGCAGCTGGTTCAGACCCTATTGCTGTGTGTGTTGTTTCCACAATCATCCGGTTAGTCTTGTACCAGTTCTTGATCCTTGTTCTTATAAATCTCAGGATTGATGATGTCTTTTGTTAATGTTATCTTTGGGGCTTTTTTAATGTCCTCATATTGACAACCCACTATTAGTAGTCAGTGACAGAGGTTCTTCTCAGTTGCTTCCAGATGCTGAGAGCCTGTTGTTTTCTGTTGTTAGACCTCTACTGTGCAGCTTTGTCTTTGATGCCACCAAATGTCACTCCACTTCTCTTACTGTTGTCCTGAAGCTTGTTTAGTGTTAAGTGCACTGACAGTAGGTTATGCCCTTCATTCACAGAGGTTTTTCATGAAACCTTGCTGGTGAGCTCCCTCTGTATCAGTATTTTTCCTTTCAAAAGGCTGTGTTTCTCATTTAGCCAGCTTCTTATCGAATCTGTGAGGATTCCTTCTCCAGCTTCAATAGTAATTTGTGATAACTCCATCAGATGCCTTATTGAAGTCAAAACAGTTGTTAACTACCACGCTTCTTTGGGTGACATGTTTTAGTGTGAGGGGTCCCTGCCCATGGCACGGGGGCTGGAACTAGATAATCTTAAGGTCCCTTCCAACCCTAACTATGCTACGATTCTATGACTCTACGATTCTTGTGCCTAGACAACTCACTAATGTACCCAAGACGGTTTAGAACAATGGCAAGAAAGCCTGATACCGAAACATCGACAATACTATTTCGTGTATGGGCTGTGTCACTTTCAGTTCATTGGTAAAGTCATGTGAAGGTTAAAACTTCATGAATTATACGCTCTGTGGAACAATTTGGTCTTTATTTTACATACAACCAAGCAGTCAACAAAAAAATCCTTCTTGCTAAAGTGAGGAAAAATGTCCTCATTCAGCTGTAGCACTTTGTTGTATCCACAAAGCACTGTCAACATTACTACTTTGGGTTCCCTCCCCCCCCACAGATACTATTTGTTATTTTGAGCTAATGACTTTGGGGGTTTTAATATTAATTTAAGTCTCAGTACTAAGACCTGTGAGAAGCCGAAAATCCCGTTTCTGGCAGTAAGAGCTGATGTAGTTTGTTCCTGGTTAGTGATTAAAATAGAGCATTTTTCCATTATTTCTAGCAAAAAATAGAACAAAACCAGTAATGTTACTCATTGTCTTCACCACCAACCTCAACCCATCCATCAGTGCAATGTCCTTTTTTTAGGAAAAAAAGTGTTTTTCAACAAAAATGTATAGCGAACCACGATGGTGTTAAAGCACAAGAGTCGGGTACACCTGGCAGTTCTGAGAACACCATGACTATCACTGCTCTAATTTACTGAAGTGATTGCTGACTGTATCAGCTATAAACTCCCTTAATTCCCATGGAATTGTCTGATTGCTGTCCATCTTCTGGACTGTAATGGAGACGCTAAATCTATGTAAGAAAAATCTTGCAGAAGGGAGAGAAGGCAGAAAATTACAGGTCTCAACTATGCTTGGTCTGCAAATGAGTATCCCATAGTTCCTTCCACAAAGGAACCAGCTAAATATATGGTATGGCTGAGAAGAGGCATTGCTTAGACTCGAACACCAGTAACTGACTGTGCTTCTTTTTTAGGACGAGGAAGTTCGCAGAGAGCGTCAAAATCTGGGAGATCCAGTTCTTTAGATGGAGACCATCACGATGGATTCCACAGAGATGAAGCTTTTGGTGGAGGCCCTGCAGGAGGCAATAACCCTTCTCGAGGAGGGAGGAGTGGAAGTAACTGGGGAAGAGGACATAACATGAACTCTGCTCAATCAAGAAGAGGATCATCCAGGGGTGGTGGAAGGGGCCGATAGAAGAGGCTTTGACTGGGTCACACCCAGTCCTGCCTGGACAATATTTAAATGGATTGCTACTCTGGACTCATAAAGTAACCTGCAACAAACCTGGATTCTTTAACTGGGATAACTGAATGTGCATTAGCTCCTAACAAGACAGGGGTCTTTTCCTAGATCAGTCAACTTCTGCTAGCTGCAGCACTGTAGCTGGCTTTCTGGTTTGTCCTCTCCACCCTTGTTTTCCTCACCTTCTTTTACCTGCTTGGTTTTGTGAAGAGCTGGAATTTTTTTAAGTGATATGAGGCATGGAGCACCTCCACAGATTTCAGTTCACCTCCAGACAGAAACCTGTTCCTATGTGTACAGTTTGTCAGAAGAGTTACGTTGGTTTTGTATGAATACAGAATGTAATTTGTGCAAAAATTAACATAAAATCAACCCAGCGTGTGATTCTTTACTCACCTATCACTATAAAGAGGGTGGTCTTTAGGCAGACTTGTGTATCAGATGGAGCAACAGAACTGCCTCCTGAAACCTCAGCTGTCTGAAATACTCATAGCTGCATGATTCCTAGGTTTTTTGTTTATGATGCACAGAGAGCTTTCATTTTCACCTTTAGCCACAGCTGTCTACTGATTACAAGTGGTGCTGACGTTAACATTCCAAACCAGGGGAAACCACCGCTGCTTGCTAGTCTGCCATCCTGAAAGATAAAAACGTGGAACACTGCTTAGAAAAAGCTGTCATAGACATAGTGTGAGTTACATCCTGGACTACCAGCAAGACAGGCATCATGACAGACGTTGTCATTCTGTGCTTCAGCTGGGCAAGTCAAATATCTTTGTTCAAAACAGCATCTGGTTATAGAAGCTGAGGAAGAAAGTTTAGCAGATTGATTAATATGGATGCACACGCTTTACAATGGCTGTAGGAGGCACTGCTTAAAGATAGCTGGTTTCGGTAGGGTCTGGTATGTTCAAACCTCAACAGCTGATCGCTTTCTAATCGCTTTTTAAGTATAGTTTTCTTTAGGATATAGCTTCCCAGTTTTATGAGCAGAGGGAAATGATGAGGAAGAGTTATTCCCATTTCCCACATTTCACAATAAAGCTGTTTACGCCCATGAATTTGTTTCCCCATAAATCATTCATATTAATCATCTCCAGTCACCAAGTTATCAAAAGGCTCCTTTAATACCTAAAGCCTCAATGAAAATTTCACCACAGAAGTACGTATTCTAAAGCCAGGAAGGTCCCACATTAAAAGCATGGGATATAATGTATAATGAACAATACTACCAGGCATCCATCCCCCCTGCCCTGACTTTTCTGTTTTAATAGTCAGGATACTATGGTTTTGTACTTCTATAGCTGTCAAGGCTATTGCAGCAACATAGTGAAACACGGCAGCTATTTTATCTGACATCTCAGTCAGATTTACCAAAGACCTGATGACCTATCTTATAGGAAGAGATCAAAACACGGGTTAACACTTATCTGCTCTTCTCTTGCTTCAATCAGTCACAGATAGCATTTTCTTTCTTAGTTTTGTAGTATATAAAATGGCATTTGAAAGTTACAGTATTTAACTGATCATTAGCCTATAAAATCCTTGTCATGTGGCTCTAGAGACAATGATTTTAAAGGCATTAACTGGGGAACAGCTGATAGAACACAGTTTCTTCTTTGAGGACTAAAAATGGAACTGCTTTTTAACCTGTACTTGAAGAAAGGCTTTGGTCACTTTTGGTATACATCAGTGAGTTAGGATCTATTCTGAAGTTTTGATGATAAATATCAGTATTTTGATAGCAAAGTGGAAAGCGTGCCCTCTCTTTTTTTTAACAAGCCCTACATATTTTTTAAGGGGCTGAAAGTTATTTTTATGTAATAGTTAGAGTATGATTTAGAGGATGAGCTTTAGTCCTCAATTAAACTACAGTCCTCTACCAAAACAAGAGTGCACCCAACAGCAAACCCAGCTGTTTCTGTCTAGACAAAAGGGAGTATGCTTGGGTTTCCTCTGATGTTTCCTGAACTCTTTAAACCACTGGGGTACTTGGTGTTGAGTGAAATTCCTTATCAAGGGGCAGCTTTTTTAATTAAATTTTGAAATACTCCACTAGCATGGAATATGCACAAAACGTTTAAGAAAAATGGAAAGTGAGCTAGCTTTTGCGTAAAATCTTAGAAGGTGACAGCATGGCAGGAGAGACACAAGTGTCCCAGTCCATGGTCCTGTGACCACTGTTGCTGGGAAACGGTAAGATTACTTAATGGGAATATACTGCTGTACGCTTTGGGTCAAGTTCTTTTACCAGAATGTGGAATCCTTATCCTCTACCTGCTAGTTTACAGCTCCGCCTTCTCTTGGATTGGTTTAGTATGTTAGTGCTGTTAGGAATAAACTAATTCTCTATACTATAGAAGTTGCAAAAATGAGAGAACCAATTTAGTTCTGTTCAGATAGCTCAGATCTACGTTTTTATGGCAAAAGAGTGACCATTAGTGGAATGTCTGTATTGAAATTTGGTACACAATTGGTTTTATTGAAGTAATCTCTGTACATTTAGGTACCCCCATTTAACAGTTTCAGCTTAATTCAGAGTATTAGCTGAATACACTAAAGTCTAAGTAGTGATATCAGGTAAATATTACATTGTTTAGCTTTATTTTGTGTATAAGGCACAAGTAGTGAGATACTCAGGCTCTGAGCAGGTTAGGCCTGGTATTCCCCTTTACGTGCAGTAGTACAGTACACAGCCCAGCTGAAGCACCAGGCTCCCAGCAGGGACTGTCAGCCCAAATTCAGCACCTTCCTAAGGCTGCTTAGCTTCTGCATTGAAACTGAGCTGTGCTGACAAAAGCCCTAATTACCAGCAAGTCTTATTTCTCAAGGTCACACTGTGGCAAGTAAGCAATTCCTGCCTAAATTGAGAAATCGAAATACATATATATATATATATATGTAAATTAAGTTCTAAGAGCTGAAGCTAGCCTTGTAAAGCCCAACTGTTACAGCAGCTGTAAGGCAGCAGCAACACCTTCAAAGACTTAAGGCTCTTACCTAAGATTAGCACCTGCCATCCTATCACTGTCATGCACCAAGACCTTAAGGTTATGGCAGTCTTTGTGACCCATAGTCCCAGGAAGGTTTGTTCCACTGACTGGATGGTGTTTTAAAGACTGGGGTTTTAGAAAGGAAAGCAGTTCAGTAGAAACTGTATTCATATTTACCACTGGTCTGATGTGGCTGATGCCTGTACCACTCAGCAACTGAACCATGTTCAGTGTAGGGGTCAGCACAGTAATGAGTTAATAGCAGTTAACTGTTTTGAACGTTGACCCTGACACTTGACCAGATTTCACTAAGCTGTCCCCACATTTCAACACCAGCCAGCCCTGCAGCCTCAGCTGTAAGACACTTGCTTTTCATGTCATGGGCAGGTCAATCCTTATGTTTCACTGGCTCCGTAATCTCACTCACGTTTTGAAGTAGGCTGCAGCAGCCACATGGTCCTAGACTGGAGGCAGGGAAGTGGGATGCTGCCAGCTCCTACCCGAACCGGAGAGGCTCCAGACCACGGCTATGGAGCTGCCTTTGCAGTAAGGCAGAATCCTGTGCTCAGCTGGCACCAAGCCCGTCCCACCTGAGCACAGACAACGCGTTCAGAGTCCCCGGTGCCGCTCGCGGGTGCCAGCCCCTGTTCTTCTGGGTCAAGAACTGGCGAGGAAAGCCCAGCAGCAAAGCCAAGGAGGTGAAGGAAGCGGCGTGCAGACGGCGCCATCCTCATCCCCGTCTCGGAGAGGCGCCTCCGTGCTCCGCCGAGCGCGAGTCTCTCAGTCCCTCCGTCCGAGTCCCGGCGGGCTGCGGCGCGGGGCTCACACCGGCAGCGCTTTGCCCCCGCGCCGCACCGCAGCGAACACGAGGCCGCCGAGGCGGCCGAGGCCGGCGGCGCCCCCGGGCAGCGCGGCCAGGAGCGCGGCGGCGGCGGCGCCCAGCTGGGCCGCGGCGCCCAGCGCCGTCAGGAGGGTGCTGCGCAGCGCCAGCGCCGCGTAGAGGGTGCCGCCGAGGGCGCCCAGGTAGAGCAGGGAGCCGCGGCTAGGCTCCCGCAGCAGGCGGGCGGGCCCGCGCAGGAGGGCGGCGGCGCCCAGGGCGCAGAGCGAGCCGAGCGACCAGAGCAGCGCGAACTTGCGGGCGCGGAGAAGCAGCAGCGGCACGTACAGCGCGGCCAGCCCGAAGCAGAGCGCGGCCAGCAGCAGGCACAGCCCGCTCCCCGCCAGCCGCTGCCAGCGCGACAGCCCCGGCAGGCAGGGGTCCGCCTCGGCGGCCCATGGCCAGCCCGAGCCCGGCCCGGCCGCCGCAGGTGGGGCGCCGCGGCCCGGCGAGAAGGGGTTCACCGGGCCCAGCCAGGCCCCCAGGCCGCCACTCCCCACTGCCTCCTCCTGCGAGCAGCCGGCGGGAGGCGGCGCAGGGCCCGCGTTGGCCGTGGCCTTTGAGTGCGCCAGGTACTCCTGCAGCTGCCGGCCCAGGTCCGCCATGGCGAGGCCCGGCACCGCTCCACGGCGCTACGGCGACCAGCCTAACCGCCCCGCGGCCATCTTGCGGAGCAGCTGCATCCGGGTTACCGGGGCGGCGCGCGTGCGCGGAAGGCTGAGGCGGCGGGGGCGCGCCCTCGGGTCCCTCAGTGCCGGCGGCGCGGGGCTGGGCTGGGCTGCGGGAGGCGGCCGCTGCTTTTGGGCAGGCGGGGCCGGTGAAGGAGGTGTCCTTTAAAAGAGATGTCTGAGAGGAGGAGTGGTGGGGTTCGCCGGGCAGGGGGTGCTGGGACTGGGGCGGGCGGGCAGGCAGGCAGGCACATACGTACATACATACATACATACATACATACATACATACATATATACATACGTACATACATACATACATTCATACAGGGAGAGCCCTCAGCCGCTCCGCATGGAGCCACTGGAAGAGCTTGGCAGCTGTGACCTGCAGCACCTCATGGTCTCTTCAGCAGGGAAGAAGATGGCGTCACGTTCAAAACGTAGATGGGTAAGAGGAAGGTGGTATCTGAGGTTGATGGAGCCCACAGGGAGCTCCATGGGACACAGCAGTCCCGGAGGCCGAGCGCTGCCCAGCGCCGTGTTCCCCCAAGGTTGGCACCTGGAGTCTTCTTACGTCTAACCCTAGGTCTCTGCCTCTCTGAAGGAGAGCTGCAAGAGCAGAGACATTACATGTAGGAACCATCCCAGTGGGGCTGAAGACGTCGAGAATCACCAAGAGCTTGTCTTGTACCCCTGTGTGCTCAGCCAAACCTGTTAACTCATTGGCTGTTCATTAATAACACTAACTACTATTCTGTCCTCAACCAACTGTTACACCAAAATAAGAACGTCCAATTCTTCACCCTGGTTTAAAAAAGTAATAAATAAAAACATCAAATGCTAATTTAACCTTTATGATTCTAAATGTTCACTGCAGGGCTGAAAAAAATGAGTTGTTTGGACAGCAGGAAACAGCCAGCACAGTTTCCATCATCAGTGTGCAGCACTATCCATAGCAATGGTGAGTCACAGTGTATTCGGCTGCCTCACAAGATGCAGATCAAGTCTGAAATCGCTGTTGGCCAGGAGCTGCCTGCCCCATTTGGGGGATCAATTTAGCATTGGTACATTGATACAAGTCAGAGGGCATAGCACTCTCTACCTGCTCAGGACAAAGTTTAATGGTTGGCAAGACTGGATTGGATCATAGAATGGTTTGGGTTAGAAGGAATCTTAACGCTCATCCAGTTCCAACCCCCTGCCACAGACAGGGACACCTTTCACTAGAGCAGGTTGTTCCAAGCCCCTGTGTCCAACTTGGCCTTGAACACTGCGAGGGATGGGGCAGCCACAGCTTCTCTGGGCACCCTGTGCCAGTGCCTCAGCACCCTCGCAGGGAAGAGCTTCTGCCTAATTTGGGGTGTGGGGTGTTGTGTCATAAAAATGACTTCTCATGAAGACAGACTGTATTTAAAAGATGAAAACGTCTTAAAGCTGCTATAACAGCAACATTTTACAGGGCAAACTGAGTTACAATGGAAGCAGCTACTGGAAAGAGCATGAAAAGGGGCCACTGGAGTTTATAAAATAAAGATTTGCCATGCCTCCTTGCTTTTGTATTTAATTAGATCTGTGTTCTTTAGTTATAATTATTCCGATCCAGTTAAATTACTGTGGTTAATTAGAAAAGCATGCCTGGTTTTTTGGCTTGCAGGAGAGGTAATGCCAGTAAAGCACAAAAATAAATGCTATTTTGAGGTAAAGTACTTCAGCTGAAGTAACCCATCCAGCTGTCATGAAATGAATGAACCAGCTTGGCCTTCCAACATAGCAGCAACATTAAGTTTGTAGCAAGAGCTGAAATAATCCCATCTTTCTGTCCCTTTTGCCACGTTTTCTGTCCCCTTTTGCTTATCACCGTAAGTAGTGCCTTGACGTAACACACCCATCTTCCTTTCTGTCCCAGCTTTCCTGCAAAAGTGTCCTTCTTCCAGGTGTGATGGTACAATTGCTAAAGATTTGAGGGGGCTGAGTAAGAATTTTATCCTAACTAAAAGCTAACAGTCTGTGATGGTTGCCAACTCCCACTTCTGAACTAAGGTAAGGCTGAGTGTGCCACTCCCACAGGCTCTACCACCAAGAGCCATCAGTCCACAGTCTCATGTCATTTACTGTTTGATTCTTAGGATTGTGGCCATTAGAAGCTACTGAAAGAGTCCAGCCCTGCCAGGGTAGAGACCTGACTTTCTTAGTATCAAAATTATTGCTTTTCCTCACCTTTTTCTTTTCTGAAACAGAATATATGTTGGGTCCCTACCATCAACTTGGCAGAGAATAGGAAAGCAAACAGGGAGATGCTGCCCAAATGTTCTCTCACTATGATCATAGTTACTAATGCCTCTTATACACCTGGAGTCCTCAACACAGATTAGTAATCACAGGATATGTTTAACAAAAAGGGTCCTCATTAATAAAATTGTAATATGCACCCAGTGTTTATGAACCACATGGCCTTGATTAGAAATATCTTTTAATTTACACTAAACAATAATAGGAAATTACTGAAGCTGTAAAAATCCAGTGCACTGATCAAACAATAAAAAAAGAAACCATCACAGAAATTGATGCCACCCATCACCAAGCCTTCTGAGAGTCGAGGACAAGTTTCTCCATCTCCATCTCTTCACCAAAAAAAGCATTCACATCTACATTTCTGCTGAAGAAAACAGAATCACATGGAAAATTTCCAAATCAGGCAGAGGGATGTGGAAGAAACAAATACTTGAGCCACTGGGAAAAGGCTTCAGGTTCTTTGGCTCTCACAATACAGGCACCCTTGCCAACACACGTGAAACAAACCAAAAGGATGACACTGATCTCCAGTCTGAATACACCTGTGGGTGACACAGCACTGGAATACCCTGTATCCACAACTCCCCTCACTCAGCCAGGAGCAAGACTGGTCCAGAGGGCTAAGACACAGTACAGGTTTTCCTGTTCAGATAAAGGGGTTGAGTGTTAACCTTAATACTGGAAGCTGCGTTTAGTCTGAATGTCGTCAAGGATCTGCTGTAATTCCTCATCTTCAAACCGACCCTCCAGGCTGCAAGATAAGAACAATGAGGATATATTAAAGCTTTCAGAAATAATCTCATCCACTAGATTAATTTCAGACAGCCACAATTCTGTCCCATCAGTCTCAACACCATCATCACCCACCTGTATGGTACCACCAGAACCCACCTACAATGTTACTGTACAACTACCACTCTAACCCCTATGCAGTGCCTCCTCTCTAAGTGACAGAACTCCATCCTGCCAAGAACCTTCTGCTGAATGATTTCAAAGCATTTCATCAAAAAGGCAAGGCAGGTGCAGGTTTAAACAGACTCTAAATGAAGTTGTTGTAGCCACATGCTCATAAATCCGATTTCGCTATGAAATCTACAGTGTGTGAGGAAGAAACTGTAGTTCAGCTGAATGTGCTCTTCCCTCCTCTATCTCAGGCCATGAGGCAGTAAACCAAATACGAAGAAATTACTGCTTGTACATCATCCACAAAGTTCATAGGAGCACTGTCATTTGCTCCAATGGAAGAAAAAGAACCCCACAGAACAAAACCCCAACAAACATAACCACAGCTGGGTGGGCTAAGACCCTCAATTTAACCTGTTTACACTTAATCTGGTAAAAATTGTCTGAAGTGCATTAGGGACACTTACAAACAGTGCCTCATGGTCATATCAATGGGCAGGTGAAGAAAGACCAAGACCAGAAGTGTTTCCATCAACAGAGCTGGACTGCAGGGAGGACATCTGCCCATAGCTGGCTTTAGGTCATGGAAAAAGTACCAAGCAGTCTTTTTATGATACATAAACACTTACCTAGGAATCAAAGCTTTTGCCTCCTCAGCTGTCTCTGGACACAGGTTAGCCAAACATGCCAATTCAAATTTATGGAGCTTTTTCTGGAGCAGCAAACTGTAAGGAAAGACAACAACTTGGTGAAATTAAAGGAAAGAAAGAAATAGAAAAGGGCATAAACTAAACCAGATAGATCTATTTTCTTCATTCTGCTTTTGGCACTGAAGCCAATGATTTTTTCAGGAGGAAAGACTCATTACATAATTGCATAGATTAAAAAAACAGTCACATCTGTTCACTTCCCCTCTATCACTCCACAAAGTCCACAAAATCCTCCTGTTTAACGCAACCAGCTGTCATATAAATATTGGAAACAAAGCCATTCAGGAGGCTTGGCCTAGACAAAGCACAGTGCTCCATGAAGAACTACAATCAAATTTCTGTCCTCTTCAGAAAGACAAGATTCAGAATTATAGTACAAATCAAGAAACACCACTGAACTGTACTTACCTAAAGCAGCATCAGTAATATACAGCAAATTCTCCAGTATGCTCCTACACCCTAACTCTTCCACTCACCTACGCACGCTGGCAATGGTTTCCCGGTTTTTGAAGCGGCTGAAGCGCGCTGTGTAGTTCAGGGTCTTCATGAAGACTTCTGAAAGCTCCTGCTCATCTTCTGCACTCTCATTCTGTTGCTTACGATGCTCAAGCAGCATATGTACTTCTGAATTTAGAAGAGTTTCCGCAGTTTCAAATTCTACATTTGAATGAGTGAACACCAGCAAGAAAGAAAAAGGCAAAGCATGGATGAAAAAGTCCATTTACAGAGGTTTTATGTGTAAGTTTAGCTTTGGGCAATAAAGAAATGAATAGTGTGTTTCAGGGTTAATTGTGCAAGCCCTTTCACCTGTGATTGGGCAGCAATACTGAAAATGCTGGTAAAAATTACACCACTTTGAGTAACAATCCAATGTGTTTGTCTTTTTGACCATTTTACATTTGCAGCCAGAACCTTCCGATTTGTCACATTTTTGCAATGCCTTTTTCTTTCACCCGCTTTTGGCAGAACTTAAGTGAAATATGACTTGTTTTAGAGAAAAGTAGTTACAACTGTAGTACCCCAAAAATTCAGAAGTGATGACTGCAACCTTTGGAAGCCTCTGAATTCTTAAAGTAAA